TGACCTATTATGCAATGTAAATTTGGAATCCGCAAGTCTGAAGGACTAGGCAATCTATTTGTGCCTTGGTCGTATAAAACCATAGACGAAAAAAAGGCCGTGCACAGTTTGTTATTTGGGAGTTTGTTTTGCAAAGCGGTAGTCGGAGTTTAGAAGCTTTCTTGGATCAGAAAGACTTGTGTGCGGTATGAAGGTCTATGAGAGGGCAAGTCATAAAGTGATCGCGCGTGAGTACATTTGAGATCCATCCTGCAAAGTGGGGTAACTAATAATTTTTGATTGTAGTAAGTATGATAGTCTGTTAGAGAAGTATGTTTTGTTGACTCACCTAATTATGATTTTATTCTAATAAGATGACTTAATCTGCTAAAATAATGTGCGTTTGTTGTAGACCGTGTTTTAAGGTCCTTTGTGACAAGACATGCCAATCATGGAAAGCACGTGCGACGGTGCGAGCCGATCGAGGTTGATTACAGTAGTGCATACAGCCGATCTCGTTTCCCTTCAATGCAAACCATATGTTCAAATTGGATGGAACCTAACACGCATAATTTGTAACATTACTTTTCAGTGGAGCAATGGCACAATTCTGAATCGAGGACGTCGCAGAGAAGCTCTGTAGCGTCAAAATTATCGTGTTTAAATAGTATTCATATTCATGAATTCAAAACGAAGCAAAAAAGAAAAGATTTACACAATTATGACACAAGAGTTACCTGATTAGACTCCATCGCTTTATATGGGTCTCATATGAGTGGGTGTCATGACTGATTGCACAATTTCATTATCTTCTTTCGCAGCTTTTACATCTAAATGAAAGACAGCAAAAAAGGTTCGCTCCAACGAACAAAACATTTCGTAAAACTGGAATTCATGTCCAGGCATTTTCTTGGGAAAAAAATGAAATTGTCATATCCAACGCTGTTACTCGTGTTCTATTTTACTATTGACCAGTAGATTCCATGTTGCCGTTCGTGTGTTGAGTAATAGATCACGGATGACGTCAAAATGTGGTAAAAACAATGAAGTGGCACACGAACCGCAGGCGAGACTGTGTCACTTATGTTTTTACCACATTTTGACGTCCTCTGTGATCTATTACTGAACAGACCCACGGTAACATGCAATCTATTTGTTTTATACAATGATCAGAAAAGAAAAAAGACCGATACACATACCTGCCTCGTACCGCTTGACTGGTCGAGGATTTGCGCTAGTTTAGGCATTTTTTAAGTCCCAAGCGCTACTTTTCGTCTCTGTTTCTTCTTTTTCTTTATCTTAATTATATAGTTACTATTTACTTACCAATTTAAGTCTCCACTCTCAACAGAGTATTGCAGACTGCTTTAAATAATTAAAATTACAACAACGAATACAACAATAACATAAAATTACTAATCAATATGTAAGATTAGACACAGGGATTGCCTAAATGAACATGGCGAAGTAGATACTATAATTTCTGGTGGGAGATTGTTCCACTGTGCAATTGTCCTAGGGTAAAAAGAGTTCTTATAATAATCACATGTACAACGTGGCTGTTCAAATCGATGACAGAGAGACGAGAGTCTGGTATTATACCTCAAAGCAGAATAATGGCGAAAACATTTTGCAAAACGGCGAGTCTCTCATAGCGATGAAACACGATGGCAGCTGTTGTGAAGATTTCTTATAGTTTAGGCATTCTAAAGTAGTCAAGAGCTCTTCTGTCCCCGTTTCTCCATTTTTCTTTCTTGTAAATAGCTCCTGTTGAACATTTTTCCACGATTTCACTTGCTTTTGTCGGAAAGAATCTCACAAACATATTCAAAACCGCGCCACATGTTGAACAAAAGTTTCGCGTGAAGTCATCCATTTATCTGTACTGGCAACGACCAATCACAGTGCGCGTAGCATTCACATCATAAATATGTACACGGTATTGCGTGACATTTCAAACACGCTGACTCAGTGGTGACTCAGCTATGATGATGTCGTTTTTCGCTGACCCTGGGCATTTGAGTCTTGCTCAACAATATTTCTGTTATAGCGAGGGGTGAGAGCAACTGCGTAAGTAGATGGCGTATTTAAAACTGCGTTTTGCAATTACCTTACAGTAGCTAAATGCTGAATTTATTAATAAGTAATTCAAGGCTTTGGCAGTTATTTTTCGCCAGGGATGAAGCAAAAACTTCAACCTTCAAAATTTTTGTAAATGACGATTTAAGATCGTCAGTATTATCACCACGTGTATATCGCGCATTAAAATGTCTAAAGTTTGCTATTTAAATGCAGAGTTTTATCATGTTCAGAATAATGTCAATTTAAATGCGTAGTTAATCAATTTGATTTTTACACAATTTTGAACGTTTCAGAGATAAAAAACTTACTTGGTACGGGACCATAAATTTTAGTACTGGGCTTTTTTGGACTTGACATATCACAACCCTTTTTGGTCTGTAAACCTTTGAGGTGCTCATGTGATTCTACTTATTTTAAATCTACTAGTTTAATTGTTAGTACTTGCGAGATGGCTAAAACTAGTGGCTTGCATGTCTTTGTGTCAGTGACAGCATTGCATGCCGATCTTACCTGGTCATTTGCAATTCGGGGATTCGTGCATCAAAATAACGTGGAAAGTGTTACCACTGTGGCCAGAGGTATGTGTGTGTGTGTGAAATCGAAAATTTCAAGCCTCGGGTTTTGGCAAAAAAAAGAAACAACAACAAAAAATCCTTCCATCACCCCCGTCGCTTGAAATCAGGAGTACCCCCCGGGGCTAGTGTGTTGCAGCACTGTGTGCGGTGCTCTGATTGCATGGGACTACCCGGCAAATTAGTCAGCAGCGGGTTAGACAGTAATAAGAACGAAATGCCAGAGCCGATGTCGTTCAAAGTTGGGTTAAGGTTGAGCAGGAGCCGATTACTTGGTTGAACCAATTTGCGCAATTTGAATTCGATTAGGCAAATTCAGTTTAATTCTTTTTGTCTGCAATTTGATGATTGGTTGCTCTAAAAAGAATAGGGAAGACTATCCAAGAAAATGCCTTTGAGCAAAAGAAAAATAAACGTGGACTAAAATTTAACCGCAGGTTAGCTCTAATCGGTCTTCGAACAACTGGACTCTGGTGAATAACAAAAGCTATAGGTCTCATCCAGACCACAGGTTGTACAACTATGCTCTGTTTATTTTCCAAGTGAAAGTTAAAGTAGATAATGTTGATGATGGTGATGATAATGATAGAGATCAAATGTTAAAGATGATAGTGGTGATGGTAGTAGTGTTGACGATGATGACGACGCTGACGTTAATAATGATCATTGTTTGTATAACGAGGGGCTATAAATGTGTGGATTCATCATTCAATCAGAAAAAAAAAGTTTCAGTTAGTTTTTGTTTTCAATACCACTTTTAAGTAAGTTATCTTAAGACACAAATATTTCTAACCAATGGAAAAAATGCAAGGCCAGAAAATGAATTCTATCATTTGCCGAAGCAACTCCAAGGAAAATATATTGTTTTAGGTCCTTTATAAGACACCAACCTTTCTTTCGTTTGATTTGAGGATCCTTCAATTTTAACTTTGTTGATTCGGTTCTTTTAATAGAATTTCTTTTGTTGATATTTTGTAGTCACTGAGACTATAATCAAAAGAGAAGTACCATTGAGCTGAAAGGAGGGGCTCAGTATTCCCCAAGGACAACGGAGCAAGCATCCCACCAGGGGGCCGAAGTTCTTGCCAAAAGAGAACCTTTTGGTCAACAAACTAGTTGCGAAGAACGACCGATCAGTAATGGTGTTTGTTTCAGTGAAAGAGCAGTTTCCGAAAACTACCATGTACTGAAAGCTGAATATGGCCGAGTTCTGTTTGAGAGAGACCAGGCGCACAGAACTTTACAAATCGCAAATTTCCAGCGTACATCTGTGGTTAAGCAACAGAGGAATAACGGTTCTTATGGTATGGAATTTTTTCCATTTTTGATAACGGTAGTTTTTCTTCCCTACATCTACTTCAGGGTTGTTTAACAACTACAAACATAAAAGTGACGCCTGCACAATATTTACCACCCGAAGACATATAATTATGAAAACAGAATGTTTAGCAAGGAATATCTACATTACGCGTTGTGGTTATAGACCCACATCGCCCCCAAGGCACAGTTGTTATGATTTCTGACAAAGAGTCGTATATATATCAGTCTACGATACATTTGCTGGGAAGCGGACTTGAGCACCCACTCTGTTGTAACTTGTAAGACATACCTGCCAGGCTGAAAACTTTTTATGCACACGCATGTACTTTGTGGGCCTTTTTGGCTTCTTCACAACTTTCTGGGTCTAATTTATTGAATGGATGTATGTAAAAAAAAAAGAATTGTTCTGGTAGCCAGTTAAATAGTTGCTTATACTATAGTGAACTCATGCCGCTTGAGGCTCAAACTGAAGTTTGATATTTATCTTAAACTGTTTAATAGGATTGCATGTGAAACATAAATAAATAAATAACGATTTGGAGGTAGCACATCCACATAGCGGTTCTTCGCCTACCTGATTCCCGGTTGAATTAATATTCGGAAATGTTGGTTTTTGAGGAGAGGGGGAAACCGGAGTACCCGGGGAAAAACCTCTCGGAGCAAAGGAAAGAACCAACAACAAACTCAACCCACATATGGCGTCGACGCCGGGATTTGAACCCGGGCCACATTGGTGGGAGGCGAGTCCTCTCACCACTGCACCACCATTGCTCCCCAATGGTGGCGAAATACATAATGATATGCTTTCGCTAAGACTTCAAGTTGTCGGATATATGCAATCATTAGTTGGGGATTTGAACAACAAGTTCACTTGGTCCTCATTTCCTTTTGTTGCCCATGAAAGTAGCCGGGGGTCATACGTAGTGTCCGGACTAATGAAACCCCTTAGTGATAGCCCTGCGTTTTAAGTCATTCGCTGGTTCAGTATAGTTGCTGGTTTTATTGCCGTTATTGCCTGCTAAACCTCACTCGTTTCTCTTCCGTGCAGGGGCTACCGGTAATTCAACCAGAGAAGACAAAATGTGTGATGAACATGACACGTCGGAACAATACTATTTACAGAGGTCCACGAAAGTATGCAAAAGAAAGCCCCACCTACGACAACAAAATAACCGCAGTAAATCTTACAGCAACAAACCTACATCTCCTCGTCTTGTTAATGGGCATACAAATTGTTTCAGTCTAACAGGAGATGGTTGCTATGAGAATGGTCATGAAGATAATGACGGAGTAGAAGAAGATAAAAATTCTAGTCACACGAGCAGAGCTCTTGTAGATAGTGTTGCACATGGAAATTTTTCCTTTGATGAAGACAACGGTAACAGTGATGATGCTGTCGGCGAAAGTAACGGAAGTGAAAACAACGATCGGTACTGCATCCTGAATTGCGACAGCAGTAAGGATGCTGAATGTCAAACTGGTGGTGCTAATGAACTAGGCGATAGGCACGGGCGCGACGTTGATGGCAATCATGACGCTAACATAGGCAACGGTAATGCTGACCATGATGATGATAATGATGGAGCCAATGCTGCTTCTACTGTTAAAAATGACGATGATAGTGATGAAGATGGTGATAACGGCTGCAATGGATATCACAACCCTCACCACCTCCACCATGCTAGACACGAACATAGTGATGGTGGGGGTGGTGAGGGTAATACGGTTCGAAGTGGTGACAGGGATAATGCTAAAGACCGTGGTAACCGTGGGGAGTTTAATGGAAATAGCAACTTTGATTATGAAAATAAAAATGATGATGATGAATCAGAAGACGTTGTGGCCAAATCAAGCTCGTTACCTGTTGAAAGCCTTGTGCCAAGGAAAAGTTTCAAAGATTTTAAATTAGCTACCAAGGACACCAAACTTAGTTTACCACTTAACGCTGGCTTGGATGACCAAGTCAAATCTCGGACAATCGGAACTATAGCGGGGGACAACAATGGTAACAAAAAGCCGCCGGGGGCTAAAGCGAAAACGTGGCTTACGAGTAATGAGTACACTGCAAAGATACCTACGATGAGTTATCCACCAAGCCTAGGATCGAAGACTTCGTCATTGAGGTTACCTCGAGTAAATGGGGCGGAATTAAATTACTTCAATAGCAGAATACCATCCCTAGATGCAACAGGTATCAATCAAAATTTCCTTGCGCGACATACGACAGATCAAAGTCTACAATATGCCTCACAGCCTAGTGATTTTAAACTAACGAGAGAATTGACTTCACGTACGGATTGGCCCGTATGGAGTCTACCACCTCCTGCAATGACTGAAACAAATGATTTGAGACATCGATGGCCTCAGTCAAGTGTACTCTACCCTTCCGTCGGCGGTTATCAAACTGGGGCACAAAGTAACTGGAATGATGAGCCACCTGCATTAAGGTTACCTACAGTAAAATCGCCCGCGCCCGTGGTACGTCCCAACGTCACTGCACCAGTCACGGAGTTGCAGCCTTCTGCAAGTGTAACATCTCAGAGTGTACCTTCATACAGCTATCAATCCAGTGTGTTGCCTGAAAATTTGCAAGAACGTTTCAAGGAGCCTTCCATACCCAATTTCTTTCCAGAAAACCAAGAAAATGTTCGTCCTATCATTTTATCTGCTTCAAGAAGAGAAGAGGAGACAACTGGTACTGAGGCATTATCACCAGAGTTCCCGGATGACCCCTCACTTGCTGCACTGGAACGCAAGGTGGCGGAGGCATGCGCAGTAGTTGAAAGGGTTATGAAAGAACGCGAAGAAAGAACAAAAGCGCAGCGTGAGGCAGCGCGAAAGAAAAGAGAGATGAGAGAACAAAGAGAAAGAGAGGCAAGAGAAATGAGAGAAAGAGAAGAAAGAGAAAGGAGAGAAAGTGAAGAAAGAGAAAGGAAAGAAAGAGAAAAGAGAAAAAGGGAAGATGGAAAAATGAGAGAAAGACAAGAGAGAGAAATGAGGGAAAGAGACGGGAGCGAACAGATAGAAAATGAAGACAGGGATACGAGGTGGTTTGGGGGAGAACGGGCGCCTGTCCAAGAGAGCCCGCGATGGCAGTGCGAGCATTATCAGCGGCGTTGCCTCGTTAAGTTTCCTTGCTGTGGAATATTCTACCCGTGTCATCGCTGTCACAATACATCAGGGGCGTGTGATACTGATGACAGGAAGGCGAATAATGCGACGCATGTCAAGTGTGGCGTATGTGGACACGAAGAAGAGGTGAGTGTCTGTCACAATTAAATCTCAACAGTGATGAATACTACAGATAAGCTCTTGGAAAGATAAGGATATGAACATTTCTTACAGAGCTATCACTTAGAGTGTACAGCTCACATTGTTTCATACTCTACTTCAAGTTATTTTTGCACTTGTCGTAACTAACTCTTTCCTTTCCGTCTCTCTCTCTCTCTCTCTCTCTCTCTCTCTCTCTCTCTCTCTCTCTCTTTTTGTGAAATTTAGATCAATGAAGGAAGCCAGTATTGCAGTGGTTGCGGCGAACAAATGTCAGCGTATTTTTGTTTTATATGCAAACATTTTACCGGAGTGGAAAAGAACCCATTTCACTGCGATAAATGTGGTATTTGTCGGTAAGTTGTTACAGATAGGAGTTCCGATAATGAATCTAGATATAACCAATTTTAATTATTTCTTTACCTCCCGTTTTAGACGTCGATTTATTAAGAACAGTTTTGTACAGTCGTTGGTTGATGGCTTAAAACAAAAGACTTGATTGCATTTTGAAATAAAGATACTAGTTTTGGCATTGCGGTTAAGTAAGCGTTGATAATACTTAAAACTGCACACGTCTGGGTGAAAGTTTTATTTAATATTCAAACCTAGATACGACTTCAGTCAGGTGCATAACGGGAACCTGTTTTTGCGCGTCAGTACAAATTTGATGAGATGGCGTTGAGATGTTTTTCTGCAATAGAAAAAGTAAGGTCTATTTGCGAACATAAGGATTTATTGGCTCTGTAAGGGTTTCATTTACCTAAAACTGGAGAACATCTATAAATCGTTTATGTTTTTTTTGTCGTGAACAGTATCCACAAGGACAAATCGTTTCACTGTGATGTTTGCAACGTGTGTCTGGACAAACGACTTGAAGGGAAACATAAGTGCAGGCCAGATTCTGGACACGACGAGTGTTGTATATGTTTAGAGGTAAGTGGAGACTGACTATTTTCTACTTAGGAAACAGAACTGATAAAATGGCATTACGAGCCAAGGTCAAACTTGTATCGTTGCTTAACTTGCATGTGTGGAAGTTTATAACAGAGACAAGAGTAAGTGACAAATGAGTGTGTGTGGCGCAGACCAAGTTGTGTTTTGTTTGGTATGGTGCACTGCAGTAATGACTCCCTTTAAACATTTCAAATTTCTCCTGGGACGGTGAAGTGAGTGTCGTTTAAATTTTCCTTTATTAGCATCCCTAGTATCAGTATTTCAACTGACAGTTGCATAAACAATTTGACTGCTTAATTTCAACCACAAATAAAACCTTTGTGTCTGAGGTAACAAACCTTTATACACTTCTGACAGATAGTTTTGGCAAACCCAGTTTGAACAGTAGCAAAGAGGAGTGTGCCACCATATTTATAGTACATGCCTTTTGTTCACTGAAATCAAGCTAGGCGAAAAAGAGTCTAAACAGATGTTTATATTGTAATTAAATCAACTTTCTGTACTCTACACAGGATGCGTTCAGCGGTTGCCAGATCCTGCCATGCTCCCACAAGGTCCATAAGGAGTGTGCCATTGCTATGATTCAGAACGGAGTGTAAGTGGCCAACAGAAGTAGATAAATATAAATAAATAGTAATGAATTGAAATGTATAAATAAGCTGATTTAAGTATAGATAGCACATCTACACATTGGTGCTTCGTCTACCTGACCATTACCGATTGAAATGGAATTCGGGAATGTTGTTTTGAGGAGATGGAAAAATCGGAGTACCAAGCTAAGACATGAAAAAACCCAAGGATCAAGGCCGTGCATCAAAACTTAACTCCTTATACCGCGCCTCCCACTATCTAGTAATAATAGTAATAATAATAGTTTATTAAAACTCTCTTGCAGAAAAACAAAAATCATACTAGTTAAAATATCGAAATGTAAGAACGTTATCTACCTTCTTGTCCTACAGGTAATATACTCGTCTGATTAAACAGATAGGGTCGGTTATTTAAACGAAGTTGAACTTAGACCGCGGTTTAGGAAATCTTTGGACCTTCAGATCTTTTCCCTAGTGGGTTGTTTTAAGAAGACAAATGCTTCTCTAGTCTACGCCTTATGCTTTCATGAAACTGTTCACGATAATTGGTGTTAACATAAAAGTGTTTGGCAAATTGAAGATGGCTTGGAACGCGGTTTTGGTAAGCACCGGCTAAACTCCGTTTAAATATCTGGCCCATAGAATTTGTCTGTTTTCTTCCTTAAATTGTATTCGGGCTGATTATCTCCAAAAAATGAAGACTCACTTAGAGGAGAGTCTCCTCAGCTCTCTTCCACTTCTCTTCTAGCCCGAGACCGAAGTGTTTATTACAGATAAATGTTAATTTGTTTGCTTCTTTCTGTGTTTCAGACGAAACTGTCCGATATGCCGCCATCCTTTGTTTAGCCAAGACTCATAGTAGAGATGAAGAAGCAAATAAGGACCGTTCACGAAAAGCTTAGATTTTGAAAGATTTCTGTTACTGCGGTCGCCACGATGCGAATTGTTCGATTGAGAGGAATTTGTTTTCAGAGCATGTTACATGTAAAAGTTCAGTTTACTAAACAAAAGAAACTGAATACATTATGGCTTCAAAGTTATCCAAAATGAGTCCAATACTAGAAAAAACAAACAAACAACCAGCCGTTATGAAGTCTTATCAATACTTTTACCTTAAACAAAAAAAAATATTTGTTGCGAACTGCAAAGTTGTCAAAGCCATGAGAAACGACGCAGTCGTCCTCTTACAGGGGCACCCAACGGGAAATTTTGAGAAAAGACCTAAAAACAACAACAAAGCATGAATAAAGTTTTCTGAGACTATTTTAAGCATTTTGGGAGATTGCTGGAAAAAAATTATCTGTTCCTCACTCCCAGCAAGACTGATGGAAGAGTTCCCAGCCAGCAACCTTACAACCTGCAACCTGACTTACTGGGAAGTTTCATAGGGCACAATTCAGATCTTGAGTGGTAAGTAATCCATACAAGTAACCCATAGCAGCTATTATAGACTTCAAATCCCCTCTGACACCCTGAATTATCTTTTTCCCAGCAACACTTTCCTTCCAAGGACTATTATTTCTTCCACATCTCCCAGCCAGCAAAAATGTGCCTGAAGAACAAATATTTTGAGGAACAGATCCATTGGGTGCCCCTGCTCTTAGAAGCTTTAGAGCAAAGCCATGCATGATTGGCCATGTTTATAAGTTTAAGCAAGGAGCCTAGCTCGAGAAACAAACAAATAAATAAAAATACATCAGTTAAACAGAAATCGATAAGTTACAGTTTCCTGGAAATGATTTTGCCCCATATTTTTTTTGGTACGTTGGGTTTTTTCAACTTCAAGTTTATCGCTGTGGTTTTATTGGTGAAAAATCAAAGTTATCAAAAAGCCATACTAAAACGAAGAATTATCCCGCTTAAACTATTGGTTTTTGGCTATTTGGAATCTTTAAATTTGTTAGTAGGGCATGTTGACAAGTTTTTAATCGACGGATATATTCCAGTATTTATTACAGCAAATCTACTGGCCGGGGTTGTTCAAACGTTGGATAGCTCACCGGATAAATCACTAGTCTAGCGGATAAGTATCTGGGAAACTAATTGCGCTTCTTTTTTTTTATATATCCAGTGGATAGAGATTTATCCAGTGGATAGCGTTATCCACCTTTTGAACAACGGGAACCTGATTGAGAAGTAAATCGCATAAGATTTTCATTTAGCAAAATATATTTTTACCCACCTTTACCCGATGTTTTTTAAGGCATCCTTTATAACGGTTTGAACGTCAACGTTATTCAGTCCATAAACTACAAGTAATTTATCTGTATTTAATAAGTGCAACAAGTAGAGAAAATAAAATCGGCTTATCCTTGAAAACAGCGCTCAGTCTTACTTTCCCGTGACAGTGATTATTGTTCTACCTTGGAATCCTAAAGTGTGACGTGCATTGTGCCTTCCTGTAGTGCAAATAGTGCATGATTGTAACGTTTAGGCCCCTTGATGAAATACTTAGTTAAATGTGAGCATTAAAAGAATAACCACTGGGCACTACTTTAATGTTGCATTTTGTTATTTTACTTCTGTACAAGGTACATCGGAATACCAAACCCTTCAGTGGGATAGCCCGCGATTAGCCTGCGAGAGCAGACATTTTCTCGGTCAAAATTGTTTTTGTGAATTAAACGCGTTTTCTGTTGAGATCTTCAAGATTTCAAATCTTGGACGTTACAAAGAATATTTATTTTTGGGTCATCACCCGTGTAACATAATTTCTTCGCTTTCTTTGTTTTATGGACTATTGCCAGGATTAGGTTTAAGGATGTTTTGTTGCCGTCTTTGTTTTGCGTCAGCCGTGAGTAATAAATTGATACCACACCGGAGATGAGTTTTAATAGTCTTATGTGATCACGCGGTACAGGCGCGACGAAACACGTCAGTCAAACTTGAAAGTTGAGCCGAGTGATAAGGCACGGCACGGCACGGCACAAAAAAATAAATTGGAAACCGTCCAGTGGAAGAAGCCAAGAAAATGATTTATAAAAGACTAATATACAAACAATTTTTTAAACTTTCAAGTCTTTCTGAACCACAGTTTCTGAGTTATTTGCCGAAACATTTCACGCACCTTTGTAGAGCTTTGTATGGAGACGCCAATCTGACCAATATGGCCTCCGGAAATCAACAAAAACATCTGGAGTTCACTTTTTCTATAAATGCTCTTCCTTTTCACTCGAGAGCTAGCATAAGTGCGCATAAACACATCTTCAAATACTTGAAATGGTTAAACTGCTGAAAATCAAGAGGAGAGACTTTTCTTCAACGAGACAGCATTCCTATTTTGGTGTCACGCACTGTGAAAACTCGGGAAGTTCAAATTGCTGTATGTTCGAAATGAAACATGCTTCGGGGCTGGAAACTTGTACAAACATTTATTTTCTATTTTTGTTCGATTCAACCTAGTGTAAATAAGAATTCGTAAAACCTTGCTTTTTTGACTTTGCAATCTGATGACGTCACTGTGAAAACCATCAATATTTTGGTCTGGTTCAATGAATCACAGCAGGGATCACAAATTTGTGACGTTGTTAGTGCAAAGCGCTGAAAGCAATCTTACTCGCTTCTGATTGGTTTTAAAACAATAGGCGACTGTCACATGCACAGCTAGCACCGCCTCATGTGTGCTCATGTGTGTCGGCAAAACACACCACAAGTGACTCTGCTCGCAGGGTAAAAAACACATGGAGGCCAATGCCTGACGACGATCTTCGATGTCAGCTTCAATCGTGTCTATGATCTTCGCTTTAAGAAGAGTGTTGATGAACTAGAGAGCAATTCCCAACTGTAAGCTTCTTAAGTAATTACCAGAAGAGGTGCGATCTTGACAAATTTTAGCAACGCCTACGTAGCGTTCGTTTAGCCTATAAAAATAGGGAAATGCTGCCTGATCGCACAGTCTATCTTAGCGCACTGAAAAGCAAACAGACCCTTTAAGGCGAACAGGTCTTCTCCATACGCTTATGTAACCTTACTCAACCTTACTACAGTACCACATACCTTCTGCGACTGATACTAGTAGTGTAAAGCAAGCGGTTGTTTCTTTTAACCTACAAGAATTGTTTGGAAACGAATGGTTCTGTCACAGAATATAAAAAAACTTTTTCACGCACTTTATTACTTGTTTAATATGTTCTACACAAAGCAGTTAATCCATAATTCAGTCAATTCTGTGCAATTACGGTCTCTGGTTAAACCGTCACCATCGAACAAATCACAAAATGCTTCGGTAAGCGAAGTTTCACGTGTAGATTCACGTGACTTTTGATTCCTTTGTTGGAGTTTAGGCTTCTTCCATCCCTTCAGATTCTTCAGGTGTTTGAAACTCGAATATTTCCCGTTGCAAACTGTGCAAGCAGAAGAATGAAAGTGATTTTTACGCCATGAGTCTGGCAGAAAGAACTTTAAAATTGCATATTTATACATACATTCCCGCACAGACGTCCTTAACATTAGCTAAGCATAACATGCGACTTACCCGGTTTAGTACATCTGGGATCACAAAGACTGAGCGAATGTTATCAGTATCACTATCAACGCTACGTGTATGCGCACGATTCCTTGAAATCAATTTACAGTGGATAAAAGATCCATCGCTAAAAGCTATTGATGAAGTGTTTTAAAATGTGGCATCGCAGGTCACTTAATAACCTTTTAAGCTATGCAAAGTAAACATGACTCCACACTGGTCTTACGCACTCGATTTGTGCTTTTGCAGTCTACTTCTATAGCCAGAGAAGGTTAGGACGGTACCAACTGTCGAATTGAGCGCCGTTGTGATCAATCTTTTCCATCGAATCTTCGATCGAGCAGCGCGGACCTCCAGTCACCACACCACAAATTTTCGCTGAAAGAAGCGCAGAATCAATCTAGATTACTTTTTCTGCCCTTTCTTTCGTCCCGAGAGGGGGGGGGGGGACTCCCATATGAAACATGTCGTATTTGTGTGTTTTTAAGCGGTCTCTTTTAGGGGTCAAAATTTGCTTAAGCCATGCCCAGATGGTCTCCTTTAGGGGTTAAATTCAAAATTTCCGACGAGCATCCCCGTCTGTTTCATATGGGAGTCACCCCCCGGCCTTTCGTCTAGTAAGTGTTAACTCACAACTAATGGACAAAAGGTCTTACCCAAAGCGTGGGTTCCATCAAAGACTCCGACTCCAAGGAAGTCCACAGAGAATTATGACATTTTCGATCACAGTTATAATTAGCAAGAGCTTTTACACCATACCCTGACTACTTGCTTTTTAAGGCATTGTTTGGAGATTTTGTGATAGCTTGGGCCGGATAAGTTGGGTTGAGATTGGGTCGCACTTGGCAAAGTTTTGGGAGAATTTGTTTACCTTGCGGTAGAAATCTGTCATCGGTGGACATTGCTAAGTGCGACCCCGAGTTTTCAAAATAGAAAAAACTTTGAAAATCGGCAAAAACATCAAAGACGCCGTAGTGCTTGGGCGGGGCAGGCAGATTTTGGAAAACTCGAGCTAACAATAGGAATCACAGCGGTAACTGTCAGCGCCTTGTCATGAACGTGATCCATTTGAAACACGATCAATTTAAAATAAACGCGGTCGAATTTTCAGACCTTCGCGAAGAGGCTTCTACTCGGCTATCCTTCGCCATTTCAAGTTTTTTTCGAAAACTCTCTACAGGCAAGGACTTCACTCGCTTATAAAGCTTCGCTATTTTAACGTTTTTAAGGGAACTAGCTCTATGGAAGGCGAACCAGTTGAGTTCCCGTCTACGCAAGCAAACACTTCACAGGTTTGTTATTCCCCAAGCCAAATGCACTATTCGCATCCAAGCACTTTCTGGTCTTCTTTATCTGTCCCATCCTCCTGAAACTGGGAATGGAGGAAAAAGATCCTTCGACAAAGGTTCGGACGAAGAAGAGAAAAATGTTTTCTGGTTTTCTGTTCTTAAGTTCTCGATGTGTCAAAGCAAAAATTATTAACTCCCACTAATGCGACCCTCCTCGGTTGGACTAAAAGTTTTCTTTTCCGGTTGCGGTTTCGAATTTTTGTGGTTTTTTAGCCGGCAAAGATGAAAACTTTTCCCAAGTGCGACCCATGCCATTTTTTATACTCCTGTGCCGTTGAGGCCGGAATTTCCATGTAGCTCTTCGACCTCTTCCAAATCCTTGAATTTATATGCATTTGAGCCTTGGTACACGAAAGACATCCTCCTCGATCTGCAGAATTCTTCATATAATGCTTAGCCTTATTCGCTAATTGTCAAATATATATATAGAAATATCAGGCCCGTGGAAATATATACCTTATTATGGGGAATAGGCCTTGTCACGGTTTTTGACGCCATCTTGAAACGCGAGAAATTACAGTGTTTTTATGAGAATCCAATTTCGAATAATTTCCGTAAAATGGCTGTTCTGAAAAAAAATATGATTTGTAAACTAAACCTTCATTCCTAAGGACCCTACTGAAAAAATTTGAGGGCGTTACATGCACTAGAAAACCTACAACCACTTTTTAAATTTCCTATGCATTTGTCTGTAAGAAAGTCCCGGGAAAATTACAGACAAATATATGGAAAATCTAAAGCAAGCCTCTGGAGAAATTTAAGCACAGGTACGCCCCCCAAATTTTTTAGGACAATCCTTTGCTTTGTAGCTTTAGTTTTCAATTGAAATTTTTTTCAGAACAGCCGTTTTACGGAAATTATTCGACATCAGATTCTCATACAAACACTGTAATTTCTCTCACGTTTGCCTACACGTCAAGATGGTGTCGAAAACCGTGACAGGGTCTATTAGGACTTTCGAGAAACGTACCTAAGATGTGGGCATTTATGTGATCACTGATGGTAAAACGTCAGTAGGCGCATGCTCATTACGTTTTGCACCTGTGCTTCGTCGATCCATCGCTGCTCCGTCTTGCTACTGTCCTTTCTTCTCGCTCTCACAAAACAAAAATCTGCAAGCCAAATCTGATCTGTCTGCCTCACCACTATGGCATGCTTAATCAAGTCTCTCGCTTTTCAAGACAAAAAGTGAGCCTTCGGAGAAGGTAAATCATAGAATTATACTTATGTGTTAACAAAGGTTTTAGGAACAAAATGCGAAAGTGCTCTTTGATCAGTTATGGAGGGTTTTGACATTTCTTGTGTTGAAATCAGCGATAGAAACTAAAAATCGAAAAAGAAACTAATACTCAAATACACTCGGATGAAAATTCGTTGTTTTAGTGCTTGTACACGCCTTGGTAATAGTTATTTTTAGTTATTTTCAAAAGAAAACTAGTTGTTCGCTTTGGTTCAGTTCATTAAGGTAAAACTAAAAGCAGATTTGAATTCTAGAATCATAAGTCGCAATTTCATGATTTATAAATCAAGAAACTTGCGCTTACTCTAGGTTCTAAATCTCCTTTTAATTTCGACGAAAAAGGGCATTTTCTTTACAACGTCGTTGCTTTTGCCTTCATAGTCTACCTTAAATATCATGCCCTCTCGTTTTAATGCCGGCGTTGTTGCTGGAGTTAACGAGAACCGTCGTAAAAGAAAAACCTCAATGCAAGGTCTTAAAAGCAAAACAACGGCCTTGCAAATGCACCGCGACACCTTTTGGTGAATTTCTTTGGCGTCTATTTTTGACAAGAAAGACTATTGCCTAATGCGACGTATTTTACACGATTATTTTCTTTTACCTTCTGAAGGTGGATGCAGTTCTTGAGAATAGTTCAACTCAGGATTCAATTCGTCAACAGTTTTTGTTAGCGTCGCGTTAATTTCCTTCATTTTGAACGCTTTACCCTCTTTTTGGAGTTAATTTCCTGTATTTGAAAGTCTTTTCCCACTGAATTCATGTTAATTTAAGTCGCGTTAATTTCCAATACCTTAATTTTCATGGAGTGTTTATTTCCTATAATATGGTGTGGGGCATCCGAGTTTGCTGGCCCCTACACGCGCGACGAATATATAAACCTCGCTTCGCGAGGAATAATTCAAAAATTTAAGAAATCATAACAATGACTATCATATCTATAAAATAGTGTCTTTTTCAACCGTAAAAATATGTTTTCCAAAAAGTGACAATAATGATGACCACAACCCCGCCTACTCCCCCTCTCTTCACCGCACGACTGTAACTTGATTCATTTTTTTCAACTTGAGTTGTGTCTGGCAAACTCTCCAAGTGTTTATATATACAGTTATACGCACCTTATAACTACGCTTAACGAGTGTCTTTTGGTCCTTCACTTTCAAAACAGCTGCTCCACAGAATGTCACTGATGACACGTAACGCTAAAGAGTATCGTAGTATGACAATAAAATTTACCTAAGCGGTCCCTTCGAGATTTGTTAACCCCCAAATAGGTATTTTTGATTAACTGCTACCCCTGTTTATTGTGATGTCACAATACTCAAACTCCCACAAACTCTCTTTGGGTTTTTCTGATTTACGTCATCCTTACCATCTTTTACTTGTGGGCGCAAACAACAGAAACGTGATCATTTAATACCTTCCGATTCCTTGCGGCCCCTGTTCAAGCAAATGGAGATTTTTTCTGACATACTGACTGTATGTTTCAACTGTAAGTACAGTAAAACCCCGCGTATAAGTACCTGGATTTTTTAATTTAGCCTTAACGGGTTCTTATATAAATGGTACTTGAAGCAAATTCAGACCACCAAGGTTCTTAAAATAGGTTCTTATATTTTCATATGAATTTCATTTCAGTATATTATAAATATCATCTCATAATACAATATAAATCATTATACCATCCTAAAAGGCAGTACAGTGCAGGTATGTCCTTAACGAAACATAACAAACAAACTCAAAGTCAGTTCCCTGAAATGCCATTTCAAAGTTGATATACTTTTACAGCAACTCCACTGATAAGAACCTAACTTAAAATTTTAGCCTTAATAGGTTCTTATGTGGAGGGGGCTTAAAATGAAAATTTTAGCCTAACAGGTTCTTAAAACCCAGGTTCTTATACGCGGGCTATTACTGTATACGTGTATTTTTGAAAAGCGGGTCAGCAAAAATATCAACTCATTCTACTACTTGGCAATTTAAAACAAAAATACTCGTTCAAAGGTCGATTAAAAGCCTTTAGTAAAATCCAACTAATGGTCTATTATCAATGCTGCATTCTGCTTGGTTGAGTTACTACTAGGCTAGGATTTAAGTCTAGCTTTAACTAGCTAAAGTTGTTTTGTCTCAATATTTTTGACCAACTAGTTGAATTTTACTGAAACAATTATTCCTCTCGCCCTCATGGCCTCTGAGTTAATAGCCCATTCGGCCATCGGCCTCATGGGCTATTGACTCGGAGCCTATTCGGGCTCGAGGAATAATTTAACAATTAATGAATGAGGCTGAGTATCTTATGAAGAATTATGGAGATCCAGGCGGATAACACCCTCCGAGATCTCCATAATTCTTCATATGATACGAAAGCCGAATTCAATAATTGTTTTATTATTCATTCAAAATAATTCCTAGTTTAAAAACATGGTTAAAACATGCTTTCCTCCATTGATGTAAAGTTCATCTTCGATAGTGCACGTTTAGGGTTGTTTAGCTCCGCAAATGTTCTCCAAATAGCAGACGTCGCCCTTCGAGTTGTCGTCTTGCTGTTCTTGCCATGTTTTTAGCTATGTTTCCGCCTATTTCTTACTCTTGAAACGAGTAAAATGTCCGGCACCTCCGGCACCATTTTTCAAGCTCAAAATCAAAACAACTCAACCTCGTCCCCAGGTCCTCTCGGTTAACGGTGCATTTACCTGCAAGAACGCTGCATTTTTGACGTCATTTCCTCGCTAAACACAAACTTCTTCCAAATTTGGTCATCAGTAACTGATTATGGTGAATTAAACGTGTGCTTTTAGCCAGTCAGAATCGGGGAAATATTTTTAATGAATAATAATTGTTATTTATCTGACGCCGGGCAGTAAATTAATGGTCCCTAGAAGCATTCCAACGAGTCCAAATTGAAAATGACGCAAATTTTAATTTAGAACATTTATTAAGTAATCTGACTTCGCGAAGTTTCAAACCGGTGTCACTTCAGTCTAGAAATTTTTAAGTTGAGTGAACTGCAGCGAAAGAGTACCTGGTTAAGGCTTACATAAGAACTTAAATAGTTAGACCGAAGATTTAATAGAAGAGACTACAAAGGGACTTCACGACTCGTGAACATTGTCGGGGAAAGAAACAAAAGAGGTTTTCATCTTTCTTACAAAATCTGTCAGGATCCGGTATTCTGTGCGTTCGTGATGACGTTTTCCGGACCGAAGACTTTCATAGAGGAGACTACGAAGCGACTTCACGACGCGTACACAATTCTAACCTTTATTGAACATGACATGTCTGCCCAATTGAACTGTTCTCTACCCAATCTTGTACCTCGAGTCTTCGTCTCGTACTACACATGCTGGCTTTCGGAACGAAGACGCAGAGAATGAGAGAGTCCCCTACCCTTAAGGTCAGGAAGAAGTTCCCGATTCTAATCCAGACGGGCGAGCACTAGAAGCAGAGCCAGATGGACTCGAGGGAGAAGACCTTCGCTGAGTTCTAGTTAGAGTAGACCTCACTAACTGGGAAATTTAGTCTCGCACCCTAATTCCCTTCTCCTTCCCTTTCGAACGCCTGCCACGCAGGCTACATATCTCAGGTATCTGACGTTGGACAGACTCATTCATCTCCGAATATTAAAAACATAATGTTAAAAATCAGGAAGTGCCATATTGTCATCGTAAAGGCACTCGAACAAGTTCCCCATGTTATTTAGTTAGTCACTAGCACTCTGCGAACGTCTTCTACCCCGAATCCATTTGGCTCTGCTAGCTCTTATGACCGCCTGTCAGGATTAGAATCGGAAGAGCCTTCCTGAAGTTCAGGGTAGGGGCACTCTAATTCACAGCATCTTCGTTCCGAAAGCCAGCATGTGTAGTACGGGACGAAGACTCGAGGTATAAGATTGGGTAGAGAACTGTTCAATTGGGCAGACATTTCATGTTCAATAGAGGTTAGAATTGTGTACGCCGGAGTCGTGAAGTCGCTTCGTAGTCTCATCTATTAAATCTTCGGTCCAGAAAACCTCATCACGAGCGCACAGACTACTGGCTGATTTTGTAAGAAAGATGAAAACCTCTTTTGTTTCTTTGTATGACAATGTATGTTTCGCCATGGCATTCTCTTTGAAAGCACTCGCGTCCACTTCAAAGTTTTCAAAATGTTCGCTCAAGGAAGATAATGATTCTGTCTCCATCCACTTGTACGCAAATCCCTAACCACAAAACAAGCAAAAAAAAAAAAAAAAAAAAAAAAACATAAGCAAACAACACAAGTAAAGAAGCTATTAGACAGGGAAAGTTGAGAACAATTACAAAATGTTTGCTAACCCGGTTTTCGTAACTCCAGGTAGAAGTACTTTCCTAATGTACGCACGACTTACTAGGTTGCCTCCTCGGAAGGCGAAATCCCTGCGGGGGCAATAACTACGGTTACGAACTAGATTTCTTTGATGTGATTGATCGTCTTTGGACTCAGTGTGTAATTAAGTGGCCGGGACTTGCTGCCATTTCCTCAAATCTTACAGATATGGACGTCATCGTAATATTCAGTTTGAACGATGAAAGTAGGAACCGTCGTTGATGATATCTTTTTCCCACTTCCTGAAATTAAAGCTGTGCTTCAATTGCGGTTTTCATTGAAGATCCGGACATGTTTTTGTTCCACTCACGGCAAAAAGTGGTGGTTTGAAAACCATCCTCCACAATTTCTCCTTCCTCGTGAAGTGAGAAAAGAAAACCCACTGGCTTTAATCAAGAGACTTTTTGGGCGGAAAATTAAAGTACCTTCATCTTTGCTGGAGGGTCGAGTGGGGGATTGACGTCATTATTATTGTCACTCATTGAAATACATATATTTTACGATTGAAAAGGACGCTATTTGGTTATCATAACCATTGTTTTTATTTTTTTTTTATCATTCCGATTTTTTTTGTTCATTATTTTTTATCCCGTTACTCGTTACTGCGTTACTCTGTTCTGTTTAGTAACACCCATCTTTGTGGCAGACCACTTGAGTTCCACCCAAATCGACACTTATTTTAATTTTTGAAACGCTTTGCATTGTTCGAAGCCTGCGTTAGCGACTACAGTGTATAAAGCTCAAGTATTAACCCTTTTGGGACGGCTAGGGTCGTATACGACCCATATGGAACGATGTATACATTCCTCCCTGGAACCATTTAGCTTTGAGTTGAAGTTAATAAATTGGTAAGCAACAACGTCAGCAAAGATATATCTCGTTTTGATATACCTCGTTTTGGATATTCTGACCAATCCTGGCAGAATTACACTTACAAAAGAAGGTAACATTTTGGGAAAATCCACTGCCAATTGCGCTGTTTACATACTACTCTTTCAAAATTAAATTTTGTCCTTTTGCTGGAAAGTTAGCCAGCCACAATTCCATGCAAAAGAAAGACGATAACGTGGGCAACAAAATAGCTTATGAAAAAGAAAGGCAAAGGAAAAAAGAGAGCGAGAGAGAAAATCGAAATAGATTCGCAAAAAAAGTCCGAATTTTGGCTTTTGCGCATGCGTGAAAAACAGATTACTCGGAAAATATGCCTTTTTTCTTGCAAAACTCATTTTTAGCCAATCTTATGCTAATTAAAACTATTTCAAAGACGAGGAATTGGTGAAAAATGCGGTTTTTTCACTACTCGCCGGCCGTCACCAAAGGGTTAAAACTTGAGATTTTAATCATTTGTTGTCATGTGACCAATTTACGTGACAACACTGAGCATTTATTGCTGATGAAGACTGTGCGAAACAGTCGAGAGATACAAGACCAAAATCTGAGACTCTGAGACTAGACTTTATTTTGTCAAATAATAATAATATCAATAACAAATACTTAAAAATAAAATAAGACGATATAAGACTATAAGACTAATATAAGATAAGACTAATAATAAATTAAACCATTATTAATAAAATTCCTAGAAAGCTGGGTCTTTGAATTATTTTTAAAAGTACGATTTGCGATTTTACCGTAACCAAGCGATTTCTCGCAAGCTGATTGGTCGAGAGCTATGTTCGAGAAGAGTACAGAGCATGGAAATGAATGACGTAATTGTGGCGCCATTTGTTTTTCTCCTTCAACGGAGATAGACGTGAAAAACTGTCAATGTTATTGTAAATAACAAATCGACAATAATTTTCCATGGTCTGTACTCTTATCGACCATAGAATTAACGTGAAAATATTCCAAACTTTCCCATTACAGGCGAGACGAGAAACGCAACGCCTTGTGTCATCTGATGACGATAACGACCTTGTGACGCGATCCCGCTCGTTCCCCGAAGACAACATTGAGTCAGATCAAATATGTTACATTAGCTACCAAGGACACCATGTTTTGCATGACAGATATCACTGGCTTGGATAGCGAAGTCAAATCTCAGACTATCGTGACTACAGCGGCAGGTAAGCAAAAGCCATCGGGGGCTACAACCCACATATGGCGTCGACGCCGGGATTTGAACCCGGGCCACATTGGTGGGAGGCGAGTCCTCTCACCACTGCACCACCATTGCTCCCCAATGGTGGCGAAATATATAATGATATGCTTTCGCTAAGACTTCAAGTTGTCGGATATATGCAATCATTAGGTGGGGATTTGAACAACAAGTTCACTTGGTCCTCATTTCCTTTTGTTGCCCATGAAAGTAGCCGGGGGTCATACGTAGTGTCCGGACTGATGAAACCGCTTAGTGACAGCCCTCGCGTTTTAAGTCATTCGCTGGTTCAGTATATTTGCTGGTTTTATTGCCGTTATTGCCTGCTAAACCTCACTCGTTTCTCTTCCTTGCATGGGCTGCCGGTAATTCAACCAGAGAAGACAAAATGTGTGATGAACATGACACATCGAAACAATACTATTTACAGAGGTCCACGAAAGTATGCAAAAGAAAGCCTCGCCTGCGACAACAAAATAACCGCGGTAAATCTTACAGCAACAAACCTACATCTCCGCCTCTTGTTATTGGGCATACAAATTATTTCCGTCTAACGTTAACAGGGGATGGTTGCTATGAGAATGGTCATGAAGATAATGACGGAGTAGAAGAAGACAAAAATTCTAGTCACACGAGCAGACGTCTTGTAGATAGTGTTGAACATGCAGATTATTCCTTTGATAAAGACATTGGTAACAGTGATGATGCTGCCGGCGAAAGTAACGGAAGTGAAAACAAAGATGGACACTGCATCCTGAATGGCGACAGCAGTAAGGATGCTGAATGTCAAACTGGTGGTGCTAATGAACTAGGCGATAGGCACGGGCACGATGTTGATGGCAATGATGACGCTAACATAGGCAATGGTAATGCTGACCACGATAATGATAATGATGGGGCCAATGCTGGTTCTACTGTTGAAAATGACGATGACAGTGATGGTGGGGGTGGTGATGGTAATAAAGATAGCAGTGGTGACAGAGTCAGATCTCAGACAATCGTTATTACAGCGGGGGACAACAATGGTAACACGGCGAGTTATCCACCAAGCCTAAAACCGAAGACTTCGTCACCAAGATTACCTCGAGGAAATTGGGCGGAATTAGATTACCTTTACAAAAGTAGAATACCATCTCTGGAGGTGACAGGCATCAATCAGAAATTTCTTGAGCGGCACACGACAGATCTAAGTCTACAGAATGTCTCGCAGCCTGGTGATTTTAATCTTCCGAAAAATTCCACGCCGCTTGCGGAATGGCCCATGTGGAGTCTGCCACCTCCTGACGCTTCTGAAACTGGACATCGATGGCGTCACTCGAGTGGACTGCAACCTTCCGTTGTGGGTAATCAAACTGGGGGACAAAGTAACTGGCAGTTTTGGAATCAACCTTCCAGGGAGATGAATAACTCAAATTTTAATCCCCAAGAACAAAAGTCGTTTAATCATATCGATCCGTGGTTTGCAAGTGGCGCGGAGTCGTTCACTGGTCTCAGAATATCCGATAGCCTTCCAGCCACAAATGGCACCATATCTGGTAGCTTATTTAACACACATGCTGCGATGGCAAGCTCTCATGAACCCAAGTGGCGTTACTCGGCCAATAATTCTTATGGGTCGCATTTAAATAGTCCCACTTATCGTGGGCTTTCTGTGCGCGATGGGCCACCTGTATCAAGGTTGCCTACAGTAAAATCGCATGCGCCCGTGGTATGTCCCAGCGTCACCATCCCAGTCAGGGAGTTGCAGCCTACTGCGAGTGTAACATCTCAGAGTGTACCTTCATACAGCTATCAATCCAATGTGTTGCCTGAAAATTTGCAAGAACGTTTCATGGGGCCTTCCTTTACAGAAAACCAAGAAGCTATCATTTCATCTGCTTCAAGAATAGAGGAGCAGAGAGCTGGTACTGAGGCATCATCACTGGAATTCCCGGATGACCCTTCACTTGCCGCACTGGAACGCAAGGTAGCGGAAGCATGCGCAGTAGTTAAAAGGGTTATGAAAGAACGCGAAGAAAGAACAAAGCGCAGCGTGAGGCAGCGCGGAAGAGAAGAGAGATGAGAGAACAAAGAGAAAGAGAGGCAAGAGAAATGAGAGAAAGAGAAGAAAGAGAAAGGGAAGAGAGAAAAATGAGAGAAAGACAAGAGAGAGAAATAAGGGAAAGAGAAGAAAGAGACCGGAGCGAACAGATAGAAAATGAAGACAGGTATACAAGGTGGTTTGGGGGAGAACGGGCGCCTGTCCAAGAGAGCCTGCGATGGCAGTGCGAGCATTATCAGCGGCGTTGCCTTGTGAAGTTTCCTTGTTGTGGAATATTCTACCCGTGTCACCGTGAAAGGAGAGAAAGAGAAGAAAGAGAAAGGGAAGAGAGAAAAATGAGAGAAAGACAAGAGAGAGAAATAAGGGAAAGAGAAAGGAGGGAACCAGTAGAAAATGAAGACAGGGATACAAGGTGGTTTGGGGGAGAACGGGCACCGGTTCAAGAGAGCCCGCGATGGCAGTGCGTGCATTATCAGCGACGTTGCCTCGTAGAGTTTCCTTGCTGTGGAACCTTCTACCCGTGTCACCGCTGTCACAATACATTGGGGGCGGTGATACTGGTGACAGGAAGGCAAATAATGCAACGCATGTCAAGTGTGTCATCTGTGGACACGAAGAAGAGGTCAGTGGCTTTGTTATTACGGTTATTCCTATGAATTGCTTTGCGCATTCTCGCTGCGCATAAATACACGCTTGATTATCGCGCACATGAAAAATAGCGGCTTTTGCTGTAAGGTTGGAGTTCGCTAGAGGTAAATCTTCATTTATCTCTTAAACGAGTATGGTCACCTATCATTTTTCTTTCCTTTATTTAATTGAGCGGCAACTTTCTTTCTGTAGGTGTTAGACAAATTGCGGGGCAAAAAAGAAAACAATGGTCGGAAACGAGTGTACAGCCGCCCCACTCTCCTCTCCGATTTTTCTGAGGGGAAGGGGCAGCTGTACACAGGTTACAGAAAACACGGTCAAATTTTCCTGTACTTGTAAATATAGTTAAAGTGATGTTGTAAGGAATTTAAGGCGCTGCTGCTCCCAAACGATAATTCTAGGTTTTCACTGTCACGCAATCAAAAATAAAATTGTAAACCATTCAATACAGAAAGTCCAGAATCTAGGAAATAAAAGAAGATAAATATGCAAAAGGCCTCGCCAAGAATCAGAACTGTGGATATTTCATATGCGAGATATTCGGAAAAACGTTTTACCCAAATTTATAAAGCTTTGTATGGAGTCGCCATGTTTGTGTCCCTTTGAGGGGCACAAATATGGCCGCCGGAAACCAATAGAAACATCTGTTTTTGAGTTTTCCTACTAATGCGTAGCTCCCCTAAAAACGCCTGCGTGGGAGGCTAACTAATGCGTGAATTCTTCGCTAGAAAAACTCATAAAGGATTAAAGTGATATTTACTCGGAGACAAGGAATGCTTAGATAGCAAAGTCTCCCAAAATTGGTAATGTTTTTAACCCACATAAAAGCCTTCCCGGCCGCCAGCTAAATGCCGCGTCACGCAAAAGCCTAGAAATTCAAACATCCTCTATCGCAAAACGAAGAACCCTTTCGAACCAAAACTTGTTTAAATAAAGGTGTTTAGGAGCTGTAATACCTCATGAAACTCAGAAACTCAGAAGAATCGATAGTTTCTTTGTTTGAATTTTGGTGACGTCATGTGAAAACTGAGAATTGAACGCTCCTCCCTCCACCACCGTTGTTGTTGTCTTCATAACATTATCAAAAGCCTGGCTAAATAGACAACTAATCGGCAAAGTTTGACAAAATTCTATTTCAGGGGAATGACCTTTTAAAAATATAGACTAAGTCTGTCACAATCAAATCTCAACAGTGATGAATACTGCAGATATGCTCTTGGAAAGATCAGGAGGATATGAACTTTTGTAAGAGAGCGTATCACTTAGTGTACATCTCACAGTGTTTCATACTCTACTTCAACTTATTTTAGCACTTGTCAAAACTAACTGTTCCTTTTCTGTCTCTTTCTCTTCTTTTGTAAAATTTAGATCAATGAGGGAAGTCAGCATTGCAGCAGCTGCGGCGAACAAATGTCAGCGTATTTCTGTTTTATATGCAAATATTTTACCGGGGTGGAAAAGAACCTATTTCACTGCGTTAAATGTGGTATTTGTCGGTAAGTTGTTACTGACAGGAGTTCCGATAATTAGTTATAATCAATTTTAAACTATTCCTTTAGCTCCCTCCTTAAGACGTCGATTCGGAAAGAACACAAAATTTGCCATCTCTTCTTAAAGAACCCAGGCTATATTCTGAGGACATAAGGGACAGGTTGAGACAAATTCAGTTTTTCTTCGTGGTTGTGGTTAGTTTTGTAGAGGCGTTGGTTGATGGCCTGAAAAACCGAAGGACGTGATTGCATTTTAAAATAAACGTACTAGCTTTGGTATTGTGTTGTTGATAGTTATTTAAAACTGCTATCATCTGGGTTAACGTTACGTTATACGACTTCACTGAGTCACTAGGTGCATAATGGGGACATGTGCAGGCAAATTTGATACGATGGCATTGAAAATTAATGCTTCTCTGCAAAAGAAAAAGTTAGGGCGATTTGGAGACAAAAGGATTATTGGCTCTGTAAGAGTTTCATTTACTTAAAACTGAAGAAAATCAATCAATCTTTCAGAAGCTTTTTTTGTTTTTTGCCTTGAATAGTATCCACAAGGACAAATCGTTTCACTGTGATGTTTGCAACGTGTGTCTGGACAAACGGCTTGAAGGGAAACATAAGTGCAGGCCCGATTCCGGACACGACGAGTGTTGTATATGCTTAGAGGTAAGTGAAGACTGACTATTTTTCGCCAAGATTACATGTACATCCGCGACAGTTATGCATCTCTTTTTTTCGAATAGTCAAACTCGTATTGTTGCTAAACTGGCATGAAGTTGACAAGGGAGGTGGAAATAAATGATCTCTGGGGACTAAGTCCTGTTTTGTTGATATGGTGGAACATCAGTGATGTTCCACTGCATCAAGCTTTAGATTTTTCACTTGTCCCTCGGAGACGGAGAAATGGGCAATGGTTAATACATTATAAAATTCCCCGTTATTTGTAACCCGCCGGTGCTGACAGTTGCACAATAATTGACGGCTTAATCTCGACTACAAGTAAAACCTTTCTTTCTGAGTACCAAACTTTTATAAGCTTCTAACGTAACAGATAGTTTTGACAAACCCAGTTTGCACAGTAAAGTGTGCTGCCATATTTATAGTACATGCGTTTTGTTCACTGAGAGCAAGCTAGGTGAAACGGGACGACGCATGTTTACGTTGTAATTAAATCAACTTTGTGTATTCTTCACAGGATGCGTTCAGCGGTTGTCAGATCCTGCCATGCTCGCACAAGGTCCATAAGGAGTGTGCCATTGCTATGATTCAGAACGGAGTGTAAGTGGCCAACAGAAGTAGATAAACAAATGATAAATAATAATGATTTATAGAATATCTACATAATGGTGCTTTGTCGGCCATTTCTCATTGAATTGGAATCTGGAAATGTTGTTTTTGAGGAGATGGAAAAACCGGAGTACCAAGAAAAAACAAAAACAAAAACAATAGAAGGGCGTGCACCAAAACTCAACTCCCTCTAGCGGCTTACGAGTGCTTTTTAACAACAACAACAACAACAACAAATTTTATTGAAAATTGGAAAATAACAAATTACATTACTTTCCCACCTGCAAATAGCTTATAAACTAATCGAGGTGGGGGGAGCTGAAGACATATTACAAAACAAGATTTATATATAGATGGACTAAATAACAGTGAAGACACTACTATACAGTTAATAGAATTTAAACTAACATAAAACAAGGCAAGTACATAACGATTACGAAGAGAGGCTAACCTAAAGTATTAAATAACCTAATACCACTACGCAGCCCCTGTACGGCAGAGCCGGGGGGTGGGAGGGGTTGTGCGGATTTAGCCTTTCCCTACTATTTCCAAAAAGACAGAAAGACAGTCTGTTCTAGGCTAAAAGATAGTGCAGTAAAAAGTGATGCAAAAATTGCGCGGGGTCTGGGGAGAGATGGGCTCCAGATCACGCGCGTCTTATTTTTCGTTGGACGTCCCTACTATCTGAAAGGCTGGCCAAACTAACAGACGCAAAGGCAGACAGACGGACACTTTATTTCAACACGGAGTTTCTTCAACTTTTTTTTTAGACTTGCAGAGAGGAAACTCTCCGCAACTTCTTCCATTTCAAGCCCGAGACCGAAGTGATTGAGATAATTTATTTTCTTATGTTTGCCTCTTTCTGTTTTCCAGACGAAACTGTCCGATATGCCGCCATCCTTTGTTTAACCAAGACTCACAGTAGAGATGAAAAACCAAAGAATCAGTGACCGTTCAGGAAAAGCCTGGATTTTGAAAGACTTCTGTTAGTGCAGTTGCCAAGATGCGAATTGGACGATTTAGAGGAGAAAAAGGTAGTTAATTTGTTGTCAGATGAAGAACCAAAGAATCAGAGACCGTTCAGAAAAAACCTGGATTTTGAAAGACTTCTGTTAGTGCAGTTGCCAAGATGCGAATTGTACGATTATGAGGAGAAAAAGGCAGTTAATTTGTTGTCAGAACAATGTCATGTTAAAAGTTGGGTTTACTTTTACAAAAGCAAAATGGATAAAAAGTTTCATTGTTATCCTAAAAAGTCCATTATTCAAAATACAGGCCGTTAAAGGTCTTATCAATACTTTAACCTAAAATGAGTTGTTGTTTACTCAGTGGCTTGTAGACTCAAATAAAAAGGATCAGTTCCTAGGGACATCTGTTGCAGCAGCCAAGAAAATTGGCAAAACAGTCGAGCAAAGATCTCAAGAAAACCTTAAGCGCCTTTTCTGTTTACCGCAAACGTACAAGTCAAAGCTAAGCAAACAACGCAGTCCGCCTTGAGCAAAGGCATGACTTTATCAATTTAAGCAAGGAGCATAGCTCCAGGAACAAACAAATAAATAAAAATAGATAAAACAGGAATCGTTAAGTTAATGTTTCGTGGAAACACTTACGCCCTTTATTGTTTTTGGTACGTTGCGTTTTTTCAACTTTAGTTTTATTGGTTGAAGGTAGGCAAAAGCCATACTAAATTGAATGATTATCTCGCTTAATTATCACTTTGTGGCTCTAGGTTTTAGTTCAAACTATTTGGACTATAATACGAGGGTATCTTAACAAGTTTGAATTTACAAATGTATTTCAGTATTTATTACAGTAAATATAATTGATGTTGAAAATCGTATGAGATTGTTGTTCAGTGAAATATATTTTTGCCCACTTTTATAAGAAGATTAAGACATCTCTACCTTACAGGCACTGGTTTCTCCAGGCCGGATTTTACGGTACGAAGAAAGAGAAACGTATCGTAGTGTCCGGCCTGAAGAAACCACTGCTCGTAGGGTAAGGTATATCTAACGCACCCACTATTTATAGCAGTTTTGGCGACAACTTTATTCAGCCCAGCCTGCGGACACAGGCGTAATTCCGGTCGTCGCTTCTCTCCACTCGAACAGTAACAATTAATTCACTTATCTGTATTACATGTAGAAAAAATAAAGATGGTTTAAACCCAGAAAATCGGTCCATAGCCTTGCTGCCCTACGGCACTGTTTATTATGCTGCACTGTGTACAAGGTGGTTCTAACTTTCGAGCCCGTGGGTGAAGTCCTATGGTGTTATAATACTAATGAAAACTACTGAGCAGTACTTTGCTGTGAGGCTGTTTATTGCACTCTTAATAGTGATTCTGACTTTTGGACCTATCAATGATACCCTTTTAAACTTTTAGATGTGAGCATAAATAATGGTAATTGAACTGAGTGGAATGTAATTTGGCCTGATGACTTTGTTGAAAGCATTAATTCCGTGATCAGTTCTTGGTTCTCGGAAATGCCGGTGTGATCATTCGAATGACATAACTTTTTGCCAGCCTTTTTCATTTGTTATTGGTTTTACCAGTTTGAACGAAGTTTTAGCCTGCTTCAGGCTCCGAGATAGTGGTGAAAAGTCGTTCAGTATAAAGAAATGCGAAAAACGCATTGGGGCTGGTCGCACGTGTCTCATTTTTCGCTCTGCTCGTTTTAATACATCCCCACTATACTATCTGAGAGCCTTGCACAGGCTAACGAATTTTAGGATTAGCAATATTGGATTTGTGCCCGCCTGGTCACTTGTCCCAACAAGCCTTCCTCGTTGATATCATTTTTGAAGGCATAGGGCATCTCTCGGGAAATTTCGCACCTTATTTTTTCAGACCTGAGTAGATACCGGAACCTTACCTCAGCCTATTTGACACAAGAACGATGAGAATCTGTTCCAAATTCCAGACCAGTGAGAAAAGTTAAAAATATATATATATATCTATTTTAAATATTTCTCTGCCGGTGTCTGGCTGGATTTAAAAGAATTTTGCTTATTCTTCATTTAACTGACGTTGACTAATGACGCTTAGAAGAGGTTTTATCCCCTTAGCGACCGACGTCATTGAGGGGACAAACTAAAAGTTCATTGTGGACGGCTGACGTCACGAAGGTAGGCGGTGCAACTGGGGGGAGGGTCAGTTGTTTTGGTAGTGTGGAGTTGAAGAAAATGGCGGTAGCGCTAACACGTTGATACGAAGAACTGCTAACACAAAAATATTGCAAAAGTCTACAAGAATACAATTTGGTTCCAAAAAGTCTTATTGGCTGATTGAAGTAAAGTTATAGCCTATAAAGGACGAATTCTTCTATACGGCTGCTCTCTGATTGGCTACATAAGAGGGATTTCCCTCGTTTGTCAGTCAAGAAAAAAGGTTTTTTTAGTATAATAAATCATTTGCTGTTATGACCAGGTCGGTTAGGTCAAAATAGACGGATATTGGAGTCGTTCCTTTTTGAAAATCCTTCAATAAGAACGACCGAGACCGGGTTTTATGAGCCCGCGAGACTGAGGACCCCACCCAAACCCTTGTTTTCTCTAAAACCGCTGGAAGCCACAACCTGGTTGAGGTAGTTGTTAATTCGGCGGAGCGCGAATTAAAGAATTCGCGCTGCTCAGAAATGTTCCAAAGTTGTATTCGGATGTCCCGAAGTTGCTTCCGAATGTCCCGAGGAATTAGTTCGAGATATTTTCGAGTTCTTTGATTTATCCTTTCAGGGGAAAGAAATGATTATGAGGAAGTATTACTTCTGGAAGAAGTAAAGAATAAATAATTATTATTTCTGGCTTGCCCAGGGTTTGAACCGGCTTACGTGTGACCCGTCTGATCAGATCAGAGACTCTAAATTGAGGGATAGCCGATTGCGCCATTGCGACGCAAGTTAAAAATAGTCAGTCATAAGTTATGCACAAGGTACGGGAAAAGATTCGGCTTGTTGGGTATTTTGACGTACTGACACCGGAATGAATTGGAGATATCGCGAGATCACTTCTAGTTCTTTCGGCCACAATAAATATTTGAGGTGGAGCGCAAAGTATTAAAGGGTTTGCGACGCTGAAGAATGCCGTAAACTTGTAGTTTGCTTCGGAAGTGAGGCCGGAAGTTGTTCGAGATATCTTTAAGAAAGTCAAGATTACACAAGTTACATGCCTTCATGGAAAAACGTTTTTGGACAGAAATTTGTATGACGATAGGAGTAATTACTGGAGATTATTGCAGCAAGAGTGATTCGAAAGAGGAAGTTCGAGGAAGTGGTACGGTCGTTTGCGTTGCGCGTAGACGAAACGCCCGGGGGTACTGAAACGATTCGGAAAGCCATAGATTGTCAACAGGAAGAAGCAAAACGCAGTTACCCTGGTTTCGTAACAGTTGTGATAAGCATCATTATCATTGTTCTTCTTTCAGTTTTGTTTGGAAGAGTAGGTGTTTATACTTGTTTTGTATTGTGTGTTATTGCTTTTCATGAAATAATTTTTTAAAGTTTATGTTGCGATGTTGTATTATGAATCATCCTCGGTGTGCATTTTCAGCAAGTTTTGTAAAGGAGTGTACTGATGTTAGTTACGTTGTTGGAGAAGGTGTGGGGTTAACTGTACATAAGGAAACATTAGGAGCGTTCCAGTTTCGAAATTCGCCAAACGTCCAGGAAAATATAATGTACAATAAATCAAAACATTGCTCAAGTGCAAAGGATTGATGTAGAGCGGAAAATGAGAGAACTTTTAAACGCCGTGTCTCGATACCTTATTTGAAGCCCAGCCGGTAAAATTAATGTTTTCAAAGAATTCTCATCAAATTCTTTAAAGAAAATTTGATAATTGTTTAGAAATTTCGATTTCTGTGCAGAAGTAGAAAGAGTCGTAGTCGTACCAGATATTCGATAAGTTCAGATTTTCGTGAAAAACAGAGGGACCTACGTAGTTTTTCCATTTTAGACTGCTGGGCCGTTCCGGGCTACGGTATTCTGAAAACCGTCCTCGCGATTCGAGATTCGCACATGCTCAAGCTCGGGGAATTCGTCCACTACAAGACCAAACCTATTTTAGAATTGCTTGGCGTTTGCGAACAAACATCGAATGTTTCAGGGAGGTTTCGATGATAATTTTTCTGGATATCCTGTCACGCCGGTGAGGTGTAGAAAACAATGAGGATTCACAAAATGCCCAAGGTCGACGATTGAGTCTACCTCAAACCAAGGGCAATGTTTGAAATCGCTTGAGATTTCTAAAGAAGCATTTTATGTTTTTAGAAGAATTTTAATCGGAGAATTCGTGAAAATGGAATAAATTTAAGACTTCATGTATCTACCTCTTTCAAAACATTTCCGGCTGCCTGATCACTGCCACAAAACACAGAGTCTAAAGTAGTAATGAGTCAAACGAGTCAATGAGTTAGATCTAAAAAAACAAGAGTTTTGGTAGAAACAATAAAATTTAGCTTCATTAGGTTTCAGTGAGAAATCAAGGGGAATACAACTGTTCTTTTATTCGATCAGGGATCGCTGAGGATCATGAACACAAGTGAAGACGATCCAGGACAGACAATTTGTTTTAAAGCGTTCGTTCCTACAATCTACAATTGCAATTACAATTGCAGAGTTGTTTTCAGTAGATAACCTTAATTCCCAATGTAGTTCACCACTTTTTCCAATCAGTTTTACTTGCCTCAAAAGGTGAATGATGCTACGAGGCGAACAAACTGAATTGTAATTTGTCCGAGGATGGGTATGAAACAGTGAGTCGAACAGTTGTACACAGTCAGTGTTTATATTAGAAACATACAGTGTACGAATAATTATTATTGAGGTATTACTGTATACCCATTGTAATTTTAAACAACTTTCAAGGCTCGTTGATTAATTAAAATCTTTGGGAATTCATTGTTTGCTTATGTTTGTGTTTAGTTACATTAGTTCGCCTGTTTAAAATTCGTGCATCAACTGGTGAATACGAACAACCTTGGGGCAGCACTTCACTTCTGGTATGGAACCTCTAGCAGGAGCGTAGCGTCCATATACGAACATACGCCCGTACGTAAAGCTGAAATCTGGAAAATATATATTTTTCATTTCCTGAAAGCATTTTTATCATTAAATCGGGATGATTGATAAATCTTTCACATTATATATTGGTGTCTTTACCCGTCTGAAGGGTAGACATCTCGCCCTTTGCTTGTAACCTCCTTGATAGCGTCACTGTTGTACCTTTTTCCCGTAAGCATTACACCTTACCGATTATTGCATTTTCCTTCGTTTTTATTTACTGAAAATGTCTTGGGGAAAACGCAGGAAATGGCATTTCTGAGCTCCTAAATTTGAAACATTTTCTAGGGAGCATGTCCCCATACCTCCCTAGTTTGCAGTACCCCGCTTCGGAGGTCCAATCTTTCTTTCCGGGCGTACACCTTCAAAACCTCACGCTACGCCCTGTCTAGTAATATGGATTGTCTGATCTGATGGTTTAAATGGTTCTTAAAAGGTGTCTGGGAAGGCTATTCTTCGGGCCATGCACGTAGGTGTAGCGGAAGGGCGTGGAATACTGCTAACAAACAGCCAAGGTTGGGATTTCATGTCAGAAATAGGTCTTGCACGTGCAGGCAGCAATGAAGCAAGTAGACAAAATAATAAAAGTGATGCTTGATTTTATTGTTTCTACCAAAAATTTTATTTTTTCAGATCTGACTCATTAACTCATTGACTCATGACTCATGACTCATTGACTCATTTGACTCATAAAACATCCGTTCTCCAAAACACAGCGTACTTTGCTTTCTTTCCGGATTTTCTCGCATTTATTCAGTGACTCAGACCACTTTTTCAGGGATCCTTGAGTCCCTCTCAAGTTCTTCCCAGCTGCAACGCTTGTTGTTTACCTATCCCGATAAAAATACTCGAAAAAAACAATGTTTTGACTCAACACTCGGTAAACGCGTACACAAAATTAAAGCCTTTGAGGGCGAAGCAAAGTTTGTATGAGTCATGCGGGGGTCCTTATTAGAAGTAGACTATTTTTAGAATCTGTGCGCACACGCAGTATTTCGCAATTAGCCTCCCACGCGGTCATGTTCGTCTATTTAAACGGACAAAGGACGACAGCAGTTTCTTGCGAAACCTTACTTGGATAATGGTATTTACCATCAACGAGTATTTCTGATAATGCTGACGATATTTCTGATAATTGCTGATACATTTACAAAGGAAAGAGCGTCAAACTGATTTGAGGGGATTCCCATATGGATGAGCACTAGTCGAGCACGTGTAACGTGAGGTAATCAGAATTACGTGATATCTTAAGTCTGGGACTTCGGTAGTCTCCTTCGCAGCCGCTTGATCCGGAGTCCCGAGCGACTGCGAAGAAGACTAGGACTTTGGGCTTTCATACGAGTTATCTGAATCATGGCAAACTATGATCTGGATGATCTACATGTACCGTCACAAGATGTGTTTTAGCTTGTTTTGAATATACCTCGGTTTTTAGACACTGATTGGAACCTTGGGCCCAGTTCAAACGTCGAATTTCACATGTGCCGAACTTAATTCCTATTTTAGTCGACTAAAATTTAATTGATTTAAACGTGGCACTTCACATGCATTTTACTCTCGCATTAAGTTCAGCACATGTGAAATTCGACGTTTAAACCGGGCCTTATTTATTTACGGGTGCATGGCCCAGCCCCGGCTTTGAGAAAAACTGAAATGCAACAAGCGAATCAGTTTTACGTAGTTTTTGTTAAGAGCTCAATAAATGGGCAAGGACAGTCATTTATCCATTGGGTAACACTAGACTAAGAGCTCTCCGTTTACCAAGTGTGTCGCACGAGGCTGCACAAAAAGCCGTGTTCAAACACTTTGTCTGGCTCGCGTCTTTTAGGAAAGTTTTAAAATGTTAATCTAAATACCCTAAAAGAGGTATTGCATAACGTTTGGGTGGCAGAGCTACATGCATGATGCAAAGGATCTGCTACGGCTAACTATAACGAGTAAACTATAAGTTTATTCCTTGAACGGCTACTTTCCCTCCGGCGACAATAATTATAACGTCGCGGTGGTTATGATACCTTCATGATGACTATATATCACGATATATCCCTCACGCGAAACGCATATGTTTTTCCCGCTGTCACCGTTTTCTCGTATTTTAGAACTAGAAAGGAGATAGAAGATTTCGATTTAGCACCCTGTGCATAACACTTACCATTTTCTACTGCATTTTCTCCATTATAATATTGCGTTTCGAACGTTCTAGATAAAGAGGCCTTGCGTGACAATAATCACCGATCGAATTATACACAAAACACTGCCGGAGATTTCGATGGTAATATAGGCAGCCACGTACTCAATTCGTCATACGTTTCTGAACGTGTACAGATGTTTTTTTTTTTTTAATAGGGCTCCGTCGTGATGAGCCCTTAGAACGTCTGCTGCGCTGCGTAGAAGGCTACCACACGTGACGAATGCCTAAGAGAAAGAATATTTTGAGTGGACATAATAAGTTCATTGTTTGTTTGAGTATTTTTAGTTCTGACGAAGACGAAAGACGAAATGTCTATTTTTAACTTACAATCCCAAACGCTTATCAGCGTCAAAAGATCTTCTGTGTTTTGACTGTCACGCCATCAAAAATAAAACTGCGAACAATACAGAAAGTCCAGAACCTGGGAAATGAAAGAAGATCCATCTGATAAATATATATATAAAGCCTCGCCAAAAGTCAGGTCTGTGCGATAATTCATATGCGAGATACTCGGACAAACGTTTTACCCAAACTTTATAAGGCTTTGTGTTAAAAAAACCCACAGACCTGATTCTCGATGACTCTTGGCCTTCCCGGTCGCCAGCTACGATGCCGCGTGACGCAAAAGCCTGGAAACTCAAGCGTCTTTTATCCCACAACGAAGAACCCTTTGAAACCGAAAATTTGGGTAAAAAAAGGTTTTCAGGTACTGTGATATCTCATGAAAGTAGAAACTCAGAAGGATATAGTTCAAAACCACTTAAACATAGCATTGTTAAACGTATTTTAGCATTTAATAGGTAGATATAGGCATACTTTTATCGCCTAAAAGTTTTTCATCTGTTCGGATTTCCTAGCTGAAAGTCTAGTGATCCGAAAATTATAGTGATCAAAACTTACCTTGTCGAAAATTTCAGCCAGAAAAATGGCTCCCGAAAATTTAGGGTAAAAATCCGTTAGAAATGGGCAATTATACCATTTTTTTAGATGTTCGAAAATCCTAGGAGAGGTAGGCAAGCAAGAAATTTTACAACAAATGTTCCGAAAATTCTAGATTACAAATCGTCTTCCGAACAGATATTTTCCGAAAATTGACGTTGGGTGCCCCTGTCATAGTTTTAATTCTGCTGACCTTGCTGACTAAGCAAAAGAAAACCGAAGACTGCATGAGACTGCAAAAAAGTGTTGCTGCACGTTATTAAAGGCTGCTCTCCGTTATCGGCTCGACAACTACCCCAGTTTCTGGTTAATTTTTGTACGGCGTTGTAAAGTTCTTTGGAGGAGAAAGGAGGTAATCGGCTCTTTGACCAGGGTACTTATAATATCATCCACCCCTTTAAACTTCTGCTCTGTTCTGTTAAAAGAACTGATTCTGCAATCAGTCATCTATTTTCTCTCACAAATCATGCAGTATCAGAAAACATAATGTTACTTTTATAATCAAAAGATCAATTTTTCAGTTTCTGCCGAAAGTGTGCGTTTATAATTGGGACATGGGACATGGGACATCGACATGTATTACGTATTCTACGGCAGACTACTACCAACGACTCACTTTGGAAAGCTGGTACAAACGCCAGTCGTGAATCGTAGTCAACAGTTACCGGCGCCGTACAAACGACTTATTGACGGAATCAAGCAAAACTAACCGCTAGAGAACGACTGGACAACTGACAATTTGACTAACAATAAAAGACTATTTAACTGTGACAACAGAAGGATCAAAACGAACGTCTAATGACATTACGAGTCTTCATAGCTAATAACATCATGGTTTAACTGACAGAAGATCAATAACATCGCGACTTAATTGATCAATCAGGTCCATAACCAGAGATTCATACCATCAACTGACATGATACAACACACTTTGACTCTGAATTAAGATGACTACCGCACAGCTTGTCGAAACGTTAGTTACTGTCAACAACAACATTTCTATTCAGGAGTGCGTTCACCCGGACGATCATACCCAACCTATTTATGAAACTTTTTATTACTGGTACAATTTGGTTGTAAACTGTCATTGTGTAACTGAAATCACGAGCAAGGAAACAAGAACTATACCAGATCGGCTGGCCTTTACAGACGTAACTTGTTTTATCTTGCTTTCTAACTGAAGGAAGAGAAGAGAAAAAAAACTTGTGTTTTGTATTTGGTGTAACACTCTAGAAATAATTCGTTCCCAAAGCTTGTAACCAAAAGCCATAATAGCTCTTGTTGTAACCTAATCAAAAACGTAGATTGCCTTGTAAATTCGATGTAAACTGAGTACTGATCTGATGTATAGAAATATGCATTTGTTGGGAAAAGTTATTTCATCAGTCACTCACGATGTTTTGCGGGACCAAAGCTCTGCTGTTAGTTTAAAAGTGTGTGCAATCTTCAAGGTTCACGTCCCTTATATAACATTAGAATGTTCTTTATTTTTTAAGGAAAGATTTAACGGGAGCAGACACAGTTATTTTAAAAGAAACAGGACCTTGATAACAAGTGAAACAAGCAACCAGGGAGTCGAGATTTCCCTCAGACAATATACAGAACGGAGAAACTATCTCCAAGAGGTTACATTGCTGTGAGCAACCAATAAACAATAGAGCAGTTCGCAACGAAAGAGCATCAATGTGCAGAAACTGTCCGGCGTTGAAAAGAGACTACGGCAAAGCATTGTATGAAAGAGATCAGGAAAGGAAACATCTACAAATTGCGAACTTTCGGCCTGAAGATGTGTTGAAACATGACGAAGCTGATGGTATGGTCATATTTCTATCTTCATTTTAAAAGGTTTCTTTTAATATTGACACTGACTGCGCAGCGCTGACTGCGGTAACAGGGTGGCAAAAGGGTGGGTGGGGGTACCTATCACGCATCACGGAAAAATAAAAAAATATTAACTACATTAACAAGTATCCTATCATCATTTGATCTGAGTAAATCAGAGGTCGAGAAATGAGAAAAAGGGCAAGAAGTTAGTGTCATAACTATCTATTTTTAATGTCTCTGCTTTTAGTTTCAAATCATATTAACCATCACGAAAATTTCAAAGGAAAATCGCGCATCGCGCATCACGCATCACGTTGCTAAGCACAATCACGCCTTACGCGGCAAATTTGAGCCCAATCACGCATCGCGCTGACAATTTAGATCCCATCACGCGTCAAGGAAAACCCCTTTGCCACCCTGCGGTAATGGTTTAGTCATTTCCAAGCATGGCTATCCCTCCTCCAAATCCCCATGGCATTTATTGTGCATCTGGAATTTTCCATGTTCGCACAGCAGAAAATACCCACATTAGGGCCAGCAGATTCATACGAAATTCCCACCAGGGGGCCTAAAATACATGAAAGTATGTCTACAAACGACCCACCCTGGAGACAAGACAAAAGGTGTGTTTCCTTGAAAGAGGCCAAAAATAAGAATTCAGGTAGCCGGAATGAATGGACGACAGTGCTGTCTTCACAAATGAGACTCAACATCAAAAGAGTGCTTAATGAAAATGAACGAGGAATAGAGAATATAGAGAGAGAATAAGGTGCAAACCATATAGAATCTACTTACAAAGGCAACATCGGGCTTTGAAATGAGCACAACATTTTCTAGCACTTCAACCAGTAATGTAAGCAATATTGCCATCAATTCTTAACGCATTGTCATAGAGCGAGGTGCAGCTGGTAGCATTAAATTGTTATAGATCACTGACTTGCGACAAACCATGGAGCCCACGGTTATGCGGCCAGTCTTTAAAATATTACAGTAAACATTGGAACGAATGTTATGGAATGAGGAAAATTCTGCGACTCAAGTTTCTTTATAAAGTATCTAAAAAAGCAAAATGTTACTCGCTGTTATCTTACCAAGGAACAGGTTAACTTTCTGTTAAATGGCCTTCTCAATGCTGTCAGGTGTCCAAGATAACCGACTAACACTCGTCATTCATTTACTTTATAGCAGCTGTTGGCGTCGTAACTGGAGAAGACACGATGTGTAATGGTCATGGCGTGACGGAAAAAGTCTTTCAACTGCCATCGAAGACGTCCAGAAATAAACTACAACTACGACAACAAAATGATCGTAGCAATTCTGGCAGTAACACAGATAGAAGTACTCCTCCTACTAACGAATATAAATATCACATCAACTCGAGAGAAAATTGCCAATATGATAATTCCGTGAGAAAAAAAGACGATGATGAACTCTACAACGATGAAAATCACGCATATTGTCGCAGAAACAAAGCTGCTGATGGCAATGGAACGTATGGATCGGCAAGATGCTCATTTGTCGAAGGCAACGGAAATGGTGATGATGATGTGTACGATGAAGATGAAAGCGAGGATGGAAATTATGTCATGAATTACAACAACCGGAAGGATGCTGAATGTTACACTGGTGGTGCTAATGAACTCGATGGTAGGTACGGAGACTTTGATGTTGATCGCAATAGTAATGAAGATGATGACGAAGACGAAGACGATGATCATGATGGAGGCGATGGTGATCAAAAAGACGGTGATACCGTTGAAAATACCGGTGATCGTAATGTAGAGGGTGATAATGGCTGCGATAACCCTCACCACCCCCACTACCACTATGCTCTTGACAACCGGCATAGCGGTGGTGGGGGTGGTGAGGGTAATATTAATAGCAGTGATGAAAGAGCTGGTGATAAAAACGATGGTACTCGTGGAAAATATTTTAGGAAAAACAATTTTGGCTATGAAAAAGAAAATGATGATGCTGATGACGATAATTACATTGTGACCAAATCAATATCGTTACCTGTAGACAGGAATGTGCCAGGGAAAAGTATTCAAGATATTAAATTAGATACCAAGGAAACAAATTTTAGCCTACCAGTTAACACTGGCTTGGATGACCAAGTTAGATCTCAGGCAATCGTTATTAGAGCGGGGGACAACAGTGGTAACGAAAAGCTGCCAGAGGCGAGAGCGAAAACGGTGCTTACGAGTAATGAGTACACTGCAAAAGTACCTACGACGAGTTATCTACCAAGCCTAAAACCGAAGACGTCGTCACCAAGATTACCTCGAGGAAATTGGGCGGAATTAGATTACCTTTACAAAAGTAGAATACCATCTCTAGAGGTGACAGGCATCAATCAGAAATTTCTTGAGCGGCACACGACAGATCTAAGTCTACAGCATGTCTCGCAGCCTGGTGATTTTAATCTTCCGAAAAATTCCACGCCGCTTGCGGAATGGCCCATGTGGAGTCTGCCACCTCCTGACGCTTCTGAAACTGGACATCGATGGCGTCACTCGAGTGGACTGCAACCTTCCGTTGTGGGTAATCAAACTGGGGGACAAAGTAACTGGCAGTTTTGGAATCAACCTTCGAGGGAGATGAAGAGCTCAAATTTTAATCCACAAGAACAAAAGTCGTTTAATCGTATTGATCCGTGGTTTGCAAGTGGCGCGGAGGCGTTCACTGGTCTCAGAATATCCGATAGCCTTCCAGCCACAAATGGCACCATATCTGGAAGCTTATTTAACACACATGCTGCGATGGCAAGCGCTCATGAACCCAAGTGGCGTTACTCGGCCAATAATTCTTATGGGTCGCATTTAAATTGTCCCACTTATGGTGGGCTTCCTGTGCGCGATGGGCCACCTGTATCAAGGTTGACTGCAGTAAAATCGCATGCGCCCGTGGTATGTCCCAGCGTCACCACCTCAGTCATGGAGTTGCAGCCTACTGCGAGTGTATCATCTCAGAGTGTGCCTTCATACAGCTATCAATCCAGTGTGTTGCCTGACAATTTGCAAGAACGTTTCAGGGAGCCTTCCATACCCAATTCCTTTACAGAAAACCAAGAACCTATCATTTCATCTGCTTCAAGAATAGAGGAGCAGAGAGCTGGTACTGATGCATCATCACTGGAATTCCCGGATGACCCTTCACTTGCCGCACTGGAACGCAAGGTAGCGGAGGCATGCGCAGTAGTTGAAAGGGTTATGAAAGAACGCGAAGAAAGAACAAAAGCGCAGCGTGAGGCAGCGCGAAAGAAAAGAGAGATGAGAGAACAAAGAGAAAGAGAGGCAAGAGAAATGAAGGAAAGAGAAGAAAGAGAAAGGAGAGAAAGAGAAGAGAGAGAAAGGAAAGAAAGAGAAGAAAGAGAAAGGAAAGATAGAAAAATGAGAGAAAGACAAGAGAGAGAAATAAGGGAAAGAAACGAAAGAGACAGGAGCGAACAAATAGAAAATGAAGACAGGGATACAAGGTGGTTTGGGGGAGAACGGGCGCCCGTCCAAGAGAGCCCCCGATGGCAGTGCGAGCATTATCAGCGGCGTTGCCTTGTGAAGTTTCCTTGCTGTGGAATATTCTACCCTTGTCACCGCTGTCACAATACATCGGGGAAGTGTGATACTGATGACAGGAAGGCGAATAATGCGACGCATGTCAAGTGTAGCGTATGTGGACATGAAGAAGAGGTGAGTGTCTGTCACAATTAAATCTCAACAGTGATGAATAATGCAGACAAGTTCTTGGAAAGATGAGGATAT